AGTGGTTTCTTTTTCTGAGCGTTAGTTTTCGTTTTCAACTGCTTTGTGTAGAGACACGAAGTCAGGATAACAATTCTTCCTTTTTTTATTATATGACATGTGTAAGTGCCCGGTTTTGCCCCACCACAAGGAAAGTAATAAATACGGTGGTTGTAGATTTCGGCGTACAAAGTGCCGATCAAAACTAATATGATATACTCTCTAATATGTACAGAATGCAATGCTGCACTTACCGAAACAGATGCTCTATATAGAAAAAGTGCACGACTCGATTTTTGCTTCGATATCGATCTTTTTGGGGTTAAAAACTTTGAACTTCTATTAAAAAAGAAATATCGTGTGCATAAGGCCACAGTTTATTTTAAAATAATGATGGCGCCAATCTACAACTAATAACACAAGTTAGCCATAAATAGCAGCATTCATTACAAAAAAAACAGGGGTACCCGGTTTTACCCAACTTTCCCCTATATATATATACAAATAATTTATATAATTATTATTCACTACTATTTTTTTTTTTCTGATATATATGTCTTTGTAAACTTTAAATTAAAAATTTAAATTAAAATTATGCCTAAACAAAATGCAACTATACCAGTAGCTATTCGCGAGTAGGTTTGTTTGCACAGTCAAACGATAGTCACAAAGCGCGCGAACATCTCCGCGTCTCACGCAAGCTTAACTCACGAGCTTTTTGTCGTGCCTCTCGTAGCTTTTCGCGAATGAACGAGAATCGGGTAATGCGATTTGTGCGTTCAAGCAATTTCTCGTACTGCGCGTTGAATCGTCGACGCGACGCAAATTTTCGCCATAGTAACAATTAATTATAATAATCGGTGCGAGCTGAAGAAGACCGAGGGACAATAGCGATTTCGAGTTACAATACTAGCAAAGTCCTGCTAGTTTACCGAGGTATCTAGTTCTCACGAAGAGATGGAGGGAGAGAGAGAGAGAGAGTTAGAAATTTGAATTTCGACTTGAAAGGACTTCGAGACAAGAACGGAGATCCTTACCAAGGGAGAATGGCCGGGTCCTTATCTCCTCGCTGTTCCACCAATCTGCAACAATAAAGAGAGAACAATGAAGAGATGTATATGGTCGGTGTTCCATTTAAATTACAATATTATTGTAGCGTAAGCCTTATCATCCTGTGAGCGAAAATTCCGCAAATATGGGCGCGATATCATTACAGCGACAATTTAGATCGATGTTTGAAGAGCGCGAAGAGCTTGCTATAAACTTGCTTGAATAACACAATTTTGCGTCGGCACAATATTTGCGAAACATCGCAGCTCGGCAACAGCTCCTTTACCGAGAGAGACCGAAGATATTGCTACGACAATAACGGGATATCCGGACGAAAGGATCACCGCGCGGAGACATTAATCCTTTGTGCGAGGCGTATCGCGGCGAACTTAGCGAAGAAGAGTAACAGGCGGAAATAAGCGATCCCTGTCACGAGGCACTGGCGGAACAGAAGGAATACCTATAAGCCAATGCCGAAAGAATTAACCAGGGACGTAGCCATTTAAGCGAGTTGTTGCAAACTTTCTTAAGCTTCGTGCTAACTAGAGGTACGGGGAAACAGGACTTACAAACTGTAATGCTTGTGACTCCTGCCGACTTGAGTCTTCAGCAGCGAACCGGAATATTGTTGTCGCAATCGCGACACGCTGATAACCAATCATTCGATTCAATTTTACGTTTGTAATCCTTAATGTGCTTGTTCACTTCAAATGCTTCGAGCGACTGCTGGAATGCTTCTATATATCCGATTGTTCTAAAGTTTAAATTATCCAGTTGAAAAATATAAGAATATTTAAGGAGCTTGGTGAATCGAAAATCAAGATACTTTGTAACAGAGTGTAAAAAAATTTTTTTCCAGAGAAAATTTCCAAGAAATTTATTTTTTACTACTAAACACATCTGAATTTAGAAATCAAAGTTTTACTACGAAATATTTTGTTTTTTCATATAACCCGAGAAAAAAAAATTCGAAAAAAGTCACCGAAAGTGACAGATGTAAAGATAAAAAATACCTATATTTGTTTCAATATCTTGTGCGATTTTTCATCTTGATTTTATCATTAAAAATATATATCTTTTATAAAATGAAAACATTATTTATCTCTTTGTTTAAATAAAAATTTTACACAATGTTAAAATTCTTATTTTTCGATTCGCTAGACTTCTATTATTATAAACCCTTAAAAGTCCAGAGTAAACGGCTAAAAGTTTAATTAATTAACGTTCCAATTTGTATTGAAAATTGTAGCATTAAGATTGTAAAGAAGAACATTTTATATCTAAAAACCAGCTTATATTCTATTCAGTTGCTTTTAATTTTTTAATATAATATACCTTTCAATTTTCGCTCTTTTTTCCTGCAAGCGTACCTCCATTTCGCATCGATTGTACGAGTATCTAAAACTACACATTGAGTTTGCAAATTCCATTCCAAATGAACTGTACCACAAAAACATTCGAACGAAAATTCCTCCGTGCATGCACAAGTCGACAAATCGTCAATAACGTGACTGTGTAAGTTCTGCATAAAAATACCGAGAAGACCCAGATTTCTCGCGGTTTCCTCACAATTCAGTCCCTTCCGTTGGCCAGAGACAGCAAGCAAGCGAAGAAAGGAGCGCGATATCGAGGTCACGTGCACTTCAACCTGAGCCGATTTCGCGATCGCGCGAAAGGATGAAGAAAGGGGTGAGAGTTGAAACGAGGAACGGGGAAAGAGAGGTTCGTCCGGTATTCAGTCGGAGAAATAGAATATGACGGTTAAAAGCCTCGCGTAGGTCTGCAAGTTTCCGACGACGGCGATACTTACGAGCGATTTGAGATTTAAGGTCGACTTGACGCTATTCATTCATCGCTAAAAGCCTCGTATCTGCGCGGCTGTCGGTTTTAATGATTAATACAGCTCGCGTCGCTGAAGGATTAAGCTGTAGTAAATAAGCGACTCGGGTGACTTGAAGCTCATAGAGAGAAAGAGAGATTGACTGAAGCTTATTGAAGTGAGAGAGAGAGAGAGAGAGAGTCGCGCGAGGATGAAAGGATTAACTGAATCGAGTTACATTTTTACGTCAACCTAAATTTCGCTCCCAAATCATGGATGTCAAAAGCGTCGCGACGCCAGAAGTCGGCGAGATGAAGGATTTATACCGAGCGCGCTAGAGAAAAACAGCGAGAACGATTCGCGCAGAGTGAATTCAAGCGTAATCAACCCCGATTGCGCCAGTCATTTAACATTGAAAATTAAAGGATTCTCGCGAATTAAGAGTCCGAGGAGGAGTCTTCTCCGAAAGCAAGGGGCAGTGAAATCGAGAACTCGCGGAGACGAGTAACTGTCGCATCCGCTTGTGCAATTTCGCTCTAGCTAGGAAAATTTTCGCGAATAACGAACGCCAATTGTACCTTCCTACGTACATACAGAGTCTCGCCTTCGTTTCCATTTTCTTCGCTCTATTATAGGAAGAATGATCCTAATTAGCTGTGCGTAGATATGAAACAGAATCAACGAACTTTCGCGAAGTTACGCAACGCACGAACGCAAGTCTACGCGCGCTCTCCATTCTCTCTCTGATATTACTCGATTACATTCTCGTTTTTATGGCGTTGTCGTCGAACGGCTGAAGCCCGGCCGTTTTCCAGGCGCTCTATCGTCGCTCTGTCTCCTTCTGATAACAACATGCTGGGCATCGGGCGAAAAAAAAAAAAAATAAAAATACGAGACGCGGCTTTTGTTCGGAAGCGCGATGAGTCCGAACAATTCCCGTCCGCCCGTTTAATCGCGACGTCCATTTATAGAACCATAGGAGGGGAGGGGGGAAGGGGAGAGGAGAGGGAGAAAAAGTGCGGTGAAAGGTAAAGAAGAAAAAACAGAAAAGGAAAATAATTGCGGACGAAGCGACGGGGATCACCTAACTTCTAGTTCGAAAGAATCGAGCGATCCCGCCCCTTTGTCCGACAGGACGATGCTCCTTTCCTTCGCCGCGGTATTGTTCACAATCCTCGACTCCTCGGAAGCTCTCCCGTTGACTTTTTTACGACTGGTAATTGTGAACCGTATTTCGCACGTCGGCAGACGCGGCAGACGAACGTCGAAGCGGATTAAATCCGCCGCGCTGTAATCCTGTCGCGAGCACCTGCCAATCCGACCCGCATTTCGTTAATTAATCTCCCTAATTATTCGCCCACCAGTATACAAGGACGGTCGTATTATTACCGGGGACCGGTCGCTCACGATGACGACGCGACTAGTAAGGCTTATAATAAGGCCCCGCGGCAAAATCAATCTCCGCTAATCTTAAAATAAATATAATAAATATAAGGAAAACAGGCAATATGAGCCAGCGCGGAGTGGAAAGCGCAAAAATGACTAATAATAATTATAATTAACGCACGCGAACGTTTCGGTTCCTTTTTTGGACTTTTATCAGCGCATTGATGTATTAAATTCGGTTAAAATTAAAACATGATAATAGTCGGAGTCAAAAAATAAAGAGTTATAAGAAAACTAAAAAATCGGTATGAAGAAGTCATCGCAGTCTTTTAGTTTTCTTTTGACCATGTTTTGACTGCGATGACTTCTTCATACCGATTTTTTAGTTTTCTTATAACTCTTTATTTTTTGACTCCGACTGTTATTATGTTTTAATTTTAACCGAATTTAATACATCCATGTGCTGATGAAGATCCAAAAAACGGACCAAAATAAAGAGTTATAAGAAAACTAAAAAATCGGTATGAAGAAGTCATCGCAGTCAAAACATGGTCAAAAGAAAACTAAAAGATTGCGATGACTTCTTCATACCGATTTTTTAGTTTTCTTATAACTCTTTATTTTTTGACTCCGACTGTTATTATGTTTTAATTTTAACCGAATTTAATACATCAATGTGCTGATGAAGGTGCGTTAATTATAATTATTATTAGTCATTTTTGCGCTTAATATTTATTAGAGCCTTTGTAAGTTTTATTCGATTTTAAAATAAATAAAAATCAAATATTATACATTAGTACTAATAACTAATTATTTATTATATATATATATATAATATCTATATGAACGCACTGTAATAATTAAATTAGTTAACATAATTATATGTAAGAAACATAATACACACAACAAATTAATGAATTAGTATGCGTTTTCTCATAGAAATGCAAATAGTTTCTTCAAGAGTTTCTTCTTCGTCAGAAGACAAAAACTATTTCTACATTTGTAATGCAAATACAGGAAGCACTAGCGCTTATTTCTGTTCAACCGTTGATTGGTTTACAGCGGTTTACTGCAAACTCATTTAACGGCGGCAACTATTATAATTAATATAATCCCAATTAATATATTTTTGTTATGCGGCACCGACGTTTCACGTCTCGTCGCGACCGAGGAAGGGACAGATTCTGTTTTATTAATCCAATTTACGAACAAATAATCCCCGGCAAGATCAACATTTATATTTTCTAATAAATAAATCCCAAAAGAGCACCAAACGAGTTCGAATCCGTTAATTAGATTACAACGATAAACTCTCGGTGCGGAGATAAACTCTTAATTAATTAATTAAAAGGACTCCCCGGCGCGTGGTGTGGGAGATCTCTGCCCCGGTTACTTTCTTTCAAAGTTTCTCCCGGAGCCAAAATCACTTAAACGAAGATTATTTGCGCGTTCGCAGTTGATAAAGCGACTCACATTTTCCAGAAATTCGCGAGTAATCAATGTAATTGCATCAAACATCAAAATCTATTTAATTGACAGATTGTTAAAATGTAAATAGAGCACACATATTATATATGGAACCATTTTCGCGTTTCCCGTAACTTTATATCCTCCGCGAAACCGTGCAACGATTATTAACGATATTTCAAGTACCAAATAAACGAATAAAACAGCATCGAATAACTATATCAAAATTATGTAACATCATTATACAACAGAATTAGATAATAATAACAAACATAACAAATATACATAAAATATTTTATAAGGTATAATTTACATAATAAATTAATGAACACATCGAGCCAAAACTTGAAATAAGTGTTA